TTGAAGTTTTTCCTAAACAAATCTGTAACCTTTATTACAGGAAAATAATAGGAATATTTTTTCATCAAATTTGGTTATTGGCATTATATTATATACTTTGTATATAAAACTGATTTTGAAACCTATTTTAAAACTGATTTTATGCTATACATTTAGAACAGAGACCTTTAGAAAAAGAGCAAATTTCTTCCATCAACGTAACATAGTATTCAACAACGTCATATTCATCAGCTGTTTATCGTACGTTCTGAGTGATTTTTCTAATGACATAATTGTTTTCATTGCTAATAAAAAAGAGAAAGACAGGCCAGAGTTTAAAGTTCACGTAGCTCTCGTGCCAGCTCACCAGCTGCTCAATTAATAAATAAAAAAAGTTAACTTCTTCCGTTTTATTACAATAAAAGTAAACGAAAGATGGTCGTAGACATGATGCAGTCGCTGTTAAATTATTTAATTCTGGCCTTAAATTGAACGGCATTTTCAAAGTTTAAATGGGACGAGCACGAGTTGAAATAAATATTATGACCCTACTTCCTGTCCTTTTACCACTCTACTTAATTGGTTAAGTGAAGAATCGGCTTTATAAAACTATGTTCGATGTAAGTAACACAACTGCTTTAGATAATAAAACTAATCATGCGAGACGTCCCCACAATAAATATACTAAAAATGTCGCATTTCAACTAGATCAGGTCAGATCAGGTTAAAATATGTTCTGGTAGGTTTAGGTTGGGTTAGGTTACCTATAAATGTATATTTTTTGTAGATTTTGTTTTTTTTTCTATTTTTCTGCAAAACATTGTACATTATAGGAATTTTATGTTTACTATTACACTCTACTGAGTAATAATTAATTTTTGCTTTAATTTTCTCTTGGACACTTAAATTGGAAGAGGTTTTTATTTTGACGTCATTCCATAATCTTAAGTTGACCTTGAGCCTTTGTCGCACCATTGTGTTAATGTTAATGATCGATTGCAAAAGACTTCATTTTGCAGATGAGAACATAATTTGGTAGATCTTGTTAGATATGTATATTTTTACACTATCGGTCAGCACTACCAATTTTTAGTAGTATTTTATTTTACAAGACTGTATTTTTTATTAATTTTTTGTTATTAGCACTGCCTGCGGTAATTGTGAGGTATATCGAGTAGGTCTGTGATTATCATAGCTGGTCCAAAGCCTGGATAAAATGTGAAGAATAATTGGCAAGGTTTGCTTAGTAGTAACCGAGCAATAGGAAAAACAAATACTGCTTAAAGCAACAATGTAAGCCTCGGAACATGACAAGAGAAAAATATCCAAAACAGACGAGAATTACTACGTGGACCATCAGATCATTCAACACAAGAGACCAAAAAATAATCCAAGTGCTAAAAGATAAAAAATCTCTACAGAAAATAAAAACGAAAGGAAAATAACAATCAAAATTATGTGAATATGTCCTAATCTACAGTCACAAAAGCAAACAAAGTCAAAGAAGGTGAATCCTTACTAATACAATGAAGCAAATATACAATACAACAGCAGAGTTGAAAAACTTTAGAAAAATCGCTAGTAGGACGCTATTTAAAAGAGCTAGAACTACAGATTTACGACAAAGATGCAAGATAAAAAACTAAGGGTTGGATAAGAAATAGAAGAGTAGAATAGAACGATCGCATAAGTCGAATGACAACAAATAAAGAAGTAAATTGATATAAGGTTGAATGTTCGAATAAATGAACTTTAATCAAATGAAAGGCAGATATCGAGCACAAATCTATTAAATAAATCTTGCCCAAGTACTTTCGCTTCCTAGAGCATCTCCAGGGCGTTTCGTCAATTTTGGCGTATCCAACAATCACAGAATATCCAACAATACACTACACAAGGACAAACAGTTTAAAATTATTTAAAATAGGCGAAGCTACATTATGGTCGGCAACACGAGAGAGAATGACGGCAAGATTTACGCGGTGATTTATTTTTCCTTTGGTTATTGTTTTTGGGAGATCATATCTCCGGTGTTAAGGCATATTTCCTAGAAATGCTGTCTTTGTTATCTTGAATAATATTCACAGTTCCTTTTTTGTTCTCCAAACTTTGTCGTTTTTGATATAATCTAAAATGTTTTAAGTATACGTCTGTATACCAACATTTTGAAGGCTAAAGGCGGTTGTACTCATTTTTATGGTCAAAACCTCTATTCCATACAACAAGACAGAGTTAAACAAATTTGAAGCTGCTGTGTTTATTACGACTTATTTGTTTTATCGTGAGACTGTGAGACATGGCTTAATATTATTATTTCTAGGTCTGGGTTTAGGTTCTTTGTTATACATAAGGTATTTAAATTTTCATACTTTTTGTTTTAATTTTTTTGTGCTTGCTTCTTAGAAAATTATATGTGTCTGAAAATTAGAATTTCGGCCTTTAACTAAGATCTTTGTTTAGTAGAAGATGATGATATTCTGCGTTACCTATTAACACCAGTGTATCGTGAGTGTATCTTTTATTGAATGAGGTTTTACCAATTGTTTTTTCTATTCATTCATTCATTCTTTCATTCATTCATTCATTCATTCATTCATTCATTTATTCATTAATTAATTACTTAATTCATTCATTCATTCATTCATTCATTCATTCATTCATTCATTCATTCATTCATTCATTCATTTTTATTCTCTTGTATGTTCTAGTGCTCGTAAGATGCATTTGAAGTAGTGATTGAGCAGATTGCGCGATACAAGATATCCTTCACTTATACCGCTTTCCTGGGCAGCCTAAAAATCGAAAATAGACAGCCTTAAAAAAAATGGAGCAATCTCCTTAGTAGAATAGTTGCCACAAGCGTCATAAAAATAGCAAGGAGCAAATCACAAATTAATAGAAGAAGTATTGGTCGACCACGCAAGAAATGGAGTGACAATATTCCATAGAGGTGTTAATCCGCCAATGAATGAGTAAAATTGATTATCAAAGAATGGCAAATCAAAAAATGGAAAAGAAAAGTGTTTTTAAAATTTGTATACATTTATTCCCTATCTGAGCGTTTTCGGCTTACAAAGTTATCATCACAGATATGGTCAAGTTTTTAAGTGTCACAACTAGGAAAGATCTCATTTGGTAGGAAAATTCAGAAATGTTGCTTTAAGCTTGTTTTGTGTTAACTCTTTAATGGTACTTGGTATAATTATTTACCACCTTGCATTTAGGTTCAATATACACATATTTTCTATGCGTTATGCGCCTCTAGTGTAAATGGAAGGTTAACTACTGATATCTGTATCACCATTTACCGCCTACGATGAGTCATGTGGCAACTGCTGTTGTGAACGTTTAAAAGTGGTAAATTATTATTATTCACGTGTTTTTTGTTTTGTTTATATTTTGAAGGTTCTGCTAAAAAATTGGGAAAACTAGGTAAGTAGTTTGATTTTGATAACAATCCTTGACACATATTAGCTATTAATTACTGAATATACCTTTCTGATTAAACAAAATAATATAAATTTCATTAAATATTTTGAGGTTGGAATTATTTTTTAACTTTTTATATGACACTGTAAGTCTATAAAATAATGGATAATCTTGATACTGATAGAAAGTGTTTTCAGGCATTATACTCTCTGTAGATAATGAATTGAAAAAGACTGTAAGACTTGTACACACTTCTAAATAGGTCTAACTGGTAAGCTGGTTTTGTATGTTTTCAATAAAATTGATAGTGTGTAAAATCATTTAATAATTAAGCTAAGTATACTTTCGACATAATAAATGTCATCATCAGAGCTATCCTAAAATAACGTTAAGTTAAGTAAATTTTTTATATAAAATACAATGATAGAAAAAACTTACGTCAATTAGGCAATAAATACTTCATAGAAGGACAATTGTGCACAAACGACATATTAAAATTCAAAGATCGGGCTCTGTAGGCACAGATCTTGGGTCTAACCCTTATACATATGTATAATTCACATTTAAAAAGTTTTTATAAAAACATGGTTACCACATACAGTAACGACAACAGCTGTCTTTGACTTACATTTTTGAAGTAAAATGAAAATGAAATAGGAAGCTCGGATATACGGAAATAAGTCCTAGAGCGACCTCTGTATTTAAATTATTAATTAAAAATTGAAAATGTCTAAAATGACGTCTGAAGGTTATTGATTATTAATGTTAGCTACTGTAGAATTTTAAATTTAAATATTTTAAATTGATTAGTTAACGTGAAGATTTAAATATACATTTATCAAAATTATCAAAAAGTTTAAAATTTAAAGTTTTGTTTTTTGATAATTTTGATAAATGTATATTTAAATCTTCACGTTAACTAATCAATTTAAAATATTTAAATTTAAAATTCTACAGTAGCTAAAATTTTTAATCAATAACCTTCAGACGTCATTTTAGACATTTTCAATTTTTAATTAATAATTTAAATACAGAGGTCGCTCTAGGATTTATTTCCGTATATCCGAGCTTCCTATTTCATTTTCATTTTACTTCAAAAATGTAAGTCAAAGACAGCTGTTGTCGTTACTGTATGTGGTAACCATGTTTTTATAAAAACTTTTTAAATGTGAACTATACATATGTATAAGGGTTAGACCCAAGATCTGTGGCCTACAGAGCCCGATCTTTGAATTTTAATATGTCGTTTGTGCACAATTGTCCTTCTATGAAGTATTTATTGCCTAATTGACGTAAGTTTTTTTTATCATTGTATTTTATATAAAAAATTTACATAACTTAACGTTATTTTAGGATAGCTCTGATGATGACATTTATTATGTCGAAAGTATACTTAGCTTAATTATTAAATGATTTTACACACTATCAATTTTATTGAAAACATACAAAACCAGCTTACCAGTTAGACCTATTATACTCTCTGACTATATACATATCTAGTCGTATTTATTTTTGGCAAAGAAGATAGTTTGAATTTTTTACCTGGTGGATTAGACATGAAATGTGATATTTTATGTTTTTTCTGGTTTCAGGAATGAAAGCCTGTAATTTGACCAAAATGAGAAGCGATAAAGCTCATCGATTAAATCGGTTAATAGTTGATATAACAGATGAACAAGCTGAGGATTCCGATATTGGCGGAGACTCTGAGGCTGAAGATGAGTTGTTTGGTTATTCGTCTTCAAGATCAACCCCATCCATTAGATTATCAGGCTTAAGTAAAAATCAGTATATGCATAATACTTATACCCAAGCATCAACATCTAGTATGATTTTGGAACAAAGTGTTGATCCATACTCTTCAGACGACAGTTTGGAAGAATCTGATTACAATGATAAAGATCAAAAATATACTCAAAAATGGCTACAAGCAGACAATTTCTCTAGTAGCGATGATGAAGAGCCAGAATTGGATACAAAACTGAGACTAAAGAAAAATGCTCGAATACAGCCTGAATTATTAAACTGGATGAAAAATTCTTCACTACATCTTGCATATAAACATTTTGTATTTGACCAGCCCTTTGATGTACAGTGTAGTATTAAAACAGATAATATTCTTTCTATTTTTGAATCTTTCATGGACAATAATATTATGCAGGTAATTGTAGATCAAAGCAACTTATATCCATCACAGAGAGGTTCTGAAATGAATTTATCAATGGATGAGCTAAAAGCATTCTTTGGTTTACTAATTTTGTTTGGCCTTAACAGATTGTTAAGTATAAGGTTGTATTGGTCGAATAATGCATTTTTTCACAACGAACGAGCATCATCTGTGATGACAATGAAACGTTTTTTGAAGATACTCATGTAGTACTCAAGATTTATTTATGTAGCGGACAATACTCAAACGCCAAAAAAAGGAGAGAATGAATATAATAAATTATATAAAAGTCAACCCACACTTACGCACCTTTCTACAAAATTCAAGCACAATTTTAAATCCTCCAGATATATTTCTATTGATGAGAGCATGGTGGCATTCAAAGGCTGCTCTATGATGAAACATAATATGCTGTTAAAGCCCATCAAACGGGGCTTCAAAGTTTCTGCAATTGCTTGCAGCGATACTGGCTATATGGTAGACTTTCAAGTATATCAAGGCAAATCCGAAAATCCGGAGAAGTTATCTTGAGGTGAAAGAGTTGTTCTAGATTTATTAAAACCTCTAAAAGGACAGGGATACTGCCTGTATTTTAATAATTTCTTCTCATTCTTTTCACTTCTAAAAAGGTTATTAGACGACAAACTTTTTGCATGTATTAGATCGAATAAAAAACAATTTCCATCGGACAAATTGATTGCAAATAAAAATTTATCGTTAGGTCAATTTGACTTCGTTTCTGCTGCAGATATCACGGTATATAAATGGAAGGACAGAAGTGTGAAACATGTTGTACTTGCCAGTAATATGCACGATCCATCAGATATATGACAACAGTTCAAAGATGAAATAGAATAGGAGATAAGAAAGATGTGATGTGTCCAAGAGAAATTCACAGTGATAATCGCCATATGGGAGGTGTTGATTTATTTGACCAGATTCATTTGACATATTACATTGCTTGGAAATCACGAAGATGGTGCATCAAGTCGTTTTACTATTTTTTTGATGCAGCAATCGTGAATTCATAATATAATGTATAAAAACAAATACAATAGCGAAAATCATACTTCTTTCCCATTTACAGTTTGGAAACTGCTTAGTAGATCAACTTATTGGCACATTTTCTAGTACAAAACAACGGGGAAGGCCAGTAATCCCAGTGGGATCTGGATGCAAAAATAATTCACGCTATGGACGAGGCACAGTAAACAATTCAATTCGTTTGTCAAATGTAGCTGCCCACTTACCTATAATTTTTACTTATCGGAGCTGTGCATTCTGCAGTACTAAAGAAAAACAGAAAAGAAGTAATTTGTGTTGTCAGGTTTGTAAAGTTGCTCTTTGTAAAAAGTGTTTCGAGCCATTTCATACAAGTATGTAATATTTTTGAGAGATAGCAAATTAAACATATTTTATATTTTCATATACTTAGGCTGATTTTTATATTGTAAAAAATTGGAATGAAAAGGTAATAAATATTGAAATGTTGCCTACCCTAATCCCCAAACATATTGCAAATCAGGTTGGCTATCATGACAGAAGTAATAAAGAAGTTGTCATTCTGTTTTGCACATGGAGCGGTGTTTTACTTTCTCAAATAATTAATTACACTCATTTAATTATACTCTGCAAGTCTGAAAGTTTATTCAAAAGGTTATGGGCTCAGAGTACATTCCATAATAAGTAAAGTTTTTGTTTAGTGTTCCCAATTTGTGGAAACCGGCAAAAAGTGTTATTAGTGGCCGGCACTAAAATTAAAAATGGAAGCTCAAAGTTTAAATAGTGCGAATTCAACCGTGAGTTTGTATCCGCAATTAACATCTACGAATTTTTTGTCCTGGAAATTTAGATTAGGCAATCTTCTAGATGCCAGAGGTATTAAAGATTTAATTACCACAGAAGCAACTGCAACACAACTAGTAGCTTTATCAAGAGACGAGCAATCTCAGCATAAAAAGCATGATGCAACAGCGAGATCTATTATCGCATGCATTACAGATGAACATTTAGAATATACACGTAATTGTAAGTCAGCTTTCGAAATGATAAAAAATTTAGAAAAAGGTTTTGAAAGAAAAAGTATTCTTTCTCGTTTATATGTGCGAAAAAAGTTATTAACCTTGAAATATAAACAAGGCACAGAATTACAAAAGCTTTTCGTTGAGTTCGATTGTTTAATACGCGACCTCGTATCCACTGGAACCTCAATAGAGGAAGATGATAAGGATTGTCACCTGTTGTTAACAATGACAAATACGTTCGACACTGTCATTACTGTATTAGAAACGTCAAATGACAAGTTAACTGTTGACTTTGTTAAAGCAAAATTACTTATTGCAAAACTGAAGTTGAAAAATAATGAAAAAGTAAGTAAAGAATCCTCGTTTTATACAAAGCAAGATAATAAAAAACCCCGTTGTTTATTTTGTGGAACTGAAGGTTATTTAGTGTCCAATTGTTTCAGAAAAAACAATAATTATAGAGGTAACAGCAGTGGAGGTAGATTTTTTCATGGAAATAACTATTCCCGTAATAATACACAAAGTAAGCATAGTGTCCATGCCAAAGTAGCTGAAGGTGGAGTAAGTTTTATCACAGCCCTATCAGCTGAAGATCTCAAGAATGATGACAACCAAATTTTATTTATAATAGATTCCGGAGCATCACAAAATATGTGCAGTGGTAAATATGAACAATTTATAAGTAACATTGTTAAAATTGGGCCTGTTGGCATTAAAATAGCAGATGGAAGGGTAATGAATTCTTGTAAAAAAGGTATGTTAAAAGTTTATTCAAAAATAAAGACATTGTAAAACTATCTATATTTCCTAGGAACATCTAAACATTAAAATAGTGTGTGCTAATTTTCTCTTAAAAGGGGGTAAACTAGGCATTTTACCAAGTTTAAGTCTACATTACTTTTTGCTTAACACACATTGGTATAATACTTTACCACTGCCATGTTACAAGTTATATGGGACTCTAATAAATACTATTTACCCAAAATAAACTGTGAATTCACCATATCAATAATTTGCCTATAAAGGGTTAAAATATTTCATTATAAAAAAGCACATTAATAAAAAGTTTGAAACAGGACAACAACGCCATTAGAGTTGAAACAGGAGACAGAATGAGGGGAATCGAATGCAAGCCTTTTAAATTCACTTATGTAAGGAAGGGGTGTAGATTTGTGTTATAGAGGTAGTACCTTTTATCGGAACGACCACATCGAGCGTCATAGACGGGAGATGGTTCTTGATAACTGGTCCTCATAAGACAACTAACTCTCACTTATGGCTCCACGTGCCACACCCCGGGCAACTGAATTGGTCTGCAGGCTAAACTAAGTGAGGGTAGCCAGATATGGCGACAATTCCACCGAGCGAATCCATAATAGGATCTATAGAAAATTAGACGTAGAGATCAGTAACACTCAGATGGGATTCAGAAAAGGGCTGGGTACAAGAGAGGCTCTGTTTGAAATGAACGTTCTTTCACAGAGATGCTTAGACATGAACCAAGAGATTTACGCCTGCTTTATTGATTTCGAAAAGGCCTTTGGCAAAGTACAACATGAACGACTAAGAAAAGTTCTAATAAAGAAAAATATAGACAGCCGAGATATTCGAATTATATGCAATCTATATTGGAATCAAACAGCAAATGTCAAGGTTGAGGGCAGACTAACAGAAGAAATTCAAATCCGTCGAGGAGTCCGACAGGGATGTATCTTATCGCCACTTTTATTTAATCTGTATAGTGAAGCTATCTGTGAACAAGCGCTCGAGGAAGAAGATCTTGGTCTGATAATAAATGGTAAGACGATCAACAATATAAGGTATGCTGACGATACAGTTCTCCTAACGGGAACGCTAGTAGAACTACAACATCTCGTTCAAAGTCTCAATATATACTGTAACAGTTACGGCTTGAAAATTAATTTGAAAAAAAACTAAATTTATGGTAATCACGAAATCAAAGAACATCAGAGCTAATCTAGGTGCTTGGATCACAGACGATACTGATCAAACAAAAGAGTTTAGATGTAGAATAGAAATCGCTAGATCAGTCTTTAATAGAATGCGCAAACTCTTTTTCAATCGTGATATCAATATAAAGTTACGAATACGAATGCTGCGGTGTTATGTCTTTTCTACCCTATTATATGGAGTTGAGGCTTGGACACTAAAACAGTTGACCATAAAAAACATCGAAGCTTTCAAAATGTGGTGCTATAGGCGCATTCTCAGAATATCATGGATGGACCGCGTCACTAATACGCAAGTACTCCAAACTTTAGACAAAGGATGCGAAATTCTAAATGAGATAAAAACTAGAAAGATGGAAAACTTGGGGCACATTGTGAGAGGTGAAAAGTACGAACTTTTAAGAAACAGCATGCAGGGCAAAATTAAGGGCAAAAGAAGTGTGGGAAGAAGAAAAATATCGTGGCTTCGTAATCTACGTGAATGGTTCGGGTGTAGTTCGATTGAACTTTTTAGGCGCGCTGCTAACAAAGTCGCAGTGGCCATGATGATTTCCAATCTCCGCTAGGAGTGGCACGAGAAGGAGAAGAATGTAAAGGAAGAAGAAGAAGAAGCAGAA